GGTTTCCATCGGTCATGGGGTTCCCATCAATAAATAGAAGGTCAGTGCAACAATGAGGAGCAAGCAGAATGGAGAAGAGAAGGTCTGATAGGCAGCTGACGGCATGAAAATATCTTCATACTTGTAAATACTGACAACATGCTCTGATACAGGTGGTGAGTCTATATCATGACGAGTTATGGAACCTTTAGTAAGTAAGGGCAGAAAGAAATAATGTCAGACGCATGTTTTCTATAACTCCAAAGAAAGAAGTAGATAGCCAAGCAATTTTCAGACCTACAGGAGCATGCAATATTACACTGTCAGTGAGTAGGGTCATTTCTCCGCTTTCTGAAATTAAACATCTGAACGAAACAAATGAAGTTCAAGTAAACAATAAACATCTTTCATAGGAATTCAGAACATCTAGTTGTGAATTATTCTTACCTAAATTTATCTTTGGGGAGTGGGGATAATACCTACATAGCAATGAAAACATGACACGTAGGACGATTATTTATTTTGTCTTCCTTTTTATCTGTTTTAAGCCTCACGCTGCCAGAATTTTAGTTGATTTTTTAAAAAGAGAGCATAGTAAGAATATTGTAGTTGAAAGACATTTATCAATTTTGGCACCCCAGTTCTGTAAGAACTTACCCTGAATTGCTGGACCCCAAGCAAACAGATAGTACCAACTCAAGTGCAGATCTACGATGGTTTCCTCGCGGGGAACATACACAGGACGCTTGAATCGACACGTTACGCGGTTGTTTTCAAAAACTCCTTCTTCGTCTCTAGCAGGATTTCTCTGGATTTCTTTAGCCCACTGACCGACATTATAGAAGTGCTGTATTCGGACTCTTCCGTTATCATCATGGACACAAGCCATGACATCATCTCCTCCCTATGTGGCAAAAACACATTGGTAAAAGGAAAACAGAAGAGTCAAAAATTTAATAATTTGTTTATATAATTTTAATTATTAAAAACTAATCAAGACCTGGGGCTCTCATTCCCTTTTTCTAAGTTACATACACAGAAATATTTGTTTCCCTAACAATGTGTCACTCGATCAGATCAAACAGCACAGAGTGGATAGTAATATTTACTGACCCCTACTATCTCTGAATTCTCTTTTGGATCTTTCTAGGAGTTATTTTACCTAACATATGTATTTGTAAGATATGATATCACACTGACATTAATTGATGTTTTCTTCCATAAATTTGTGAAGTTCTGGGATCTTGCTTCATAAAAACTTACAGTCGTGAATCCTTGGTGTGTACAAAATCCACTGCATCAAATCATGGACAGAAATTGAATACAATTTAGTAAAATAGAGGAGATGAATCCACTAAATTTTGGGAAATAATAGCATAAATTTCAGTCTGTCAGTTCTCTTGTCACATTCACTTAAGGGAACATGCCTTCACAGAATACAGTATAACAGAAGATGCAAGGAAAAAGTAATCAATATGTGCTTCTTTGCGTATCACAAGCAGCCACCGGGCATTACAAATAAGCAAAGAAACAATAGACAGAAGGAAGTGTGAGAGATTTGTTTGCAGAAACATTAAACCAGTTGCTAGATGTTACTCAAGGTCGCTGCCAAAGTGGCAGAACCCTGTATCACTCAGGGATTAGCATCACTTTTAGGAGTACTATCTCACAGAAGCCTTAGCATCAAGAACCATTACAACGCTGGGCAAGTTGGATGAATGGCATTTTACTGCACCCCACTGCCACAGGTACCAGTGCTGTACTAAATGCAGGTCCTACTTCTCCAAGGCTAGTCTTTCTGATACATCATGCTGATGATAGATGCGATGCTTGCTAGCATGGTCAGCTCTCAGTTCTTTCTTATAGCAAAAGCAGAGAAAGAGGGTGGAGTTCAGCTCTCCGGGAATATAGCTGTGTAGATTAGTAAAAGATGTGCTAGAAGTGAGGGGGAAAGGGGACAACGAGGTAAAAGATATGCTGCTGCAGGCAACCTTTCCAGTTTCTGTCTTGAGCCTACCCCTGCTTTCCATAACTTATTTTCCAGGATTAATTTTTACACATCTGAGCACAAATCCCTCATTCTTAAGTACAAACAGTCAAAAACAGAGCTGTTTCCACATAGAAAATAATGAAAAGGAAAGAAAAAAAAGCATTCTGAACCTCAATGAATAGGATGACACTACAAAATCCTACCTAGGCACAAAAGCCTATGAGTGAAAAAGACAAAGAAATAGGTCACAGGACTTTTAAAAAAATCTATTGAGGACAAAAAAATAGGGTTTTTTTCCGGAACTTCTGCAGCTATCCAGGCCACACCATTTTGATTAGCACCTCTAAGGCACAGCCCACTTCTCACAGCCAAGTTGTTTTGAGCCAGAGTCATTTTACCATTCCAGCCTCCGTGTCCCAGGACACCAAAACATCCTGGAAGTTATGAAAAAGGACGAAGTCAGCAGGGGAACAAGAGAGGAAGACAAGTGCTGGCTCTTTTAGTCCAGCTGACTGATGGGCATGAGAACATGTACACAGCAAATCTGGGAGCAAAATCTTTTATTTCACATGTACTTTATTCTTCCTATCAGAAGCCAAGACCTAACAGGCTGCTTGGTGTGCCTGGGCCGAAATGTAATGGGAACTTTCACAGGGACTGATGAGGTGCAGGCAGTGGGACCCTGGGGTCTACTGCAGGTTAGCAGAGTTACAAACTGGTAATGCCAGCTCTGACAGCTCAGGACCAAATACTTGAAGGTGCTGAGCTGCTTTGAAAACCCTTTTGAGTACTTGCATTGCCAGACATCCAAACTCATCCCAAAATTTGGCTGAAAAAAGTGTTCCTCACAACATTAAAAATGAGCTGTTTCTTATGACACAAAAGACTGCCAGTTTTATGTGTTTATTTACAGTGTCATATTAAAACACATACAGCAATGATTGAAAAACACCTGCCCTCACATTTCCTTTCTATTTCTCATTTTGGGTCTGATAAAAATGCTAAGTCAGCCCGAGTCTTCCCATTCATTTTAGTGGATCCTAGCCCAGGATGTCTAAATTCTGTCATTTTTTTCAGACTACTGCTTACAACTGTACAAGAAACGGTCCTGTCCTCTGACTTGTAATTTAGGGCACAGACGCAGTATTTTTTATACACTTTTCTACACTTTTATACACTGTTTCTGAATATGAACTGTTTTAATCCTAAACATTTCACCAAGGAACACAGACAAAACATCTTTGCATAAGTTGTCTATTACTCAAGTTTTTTAAAGCCCACATAGTACATGCTCCTTTTTTGCTTATTGAAACACAACGAAAACTGAAGCTTTTGAATGAAAAAGTAAATACAGGGATTAGCATAAAACCAAACCAAATAAAAACCAGGGGGAAGAGAGAGAAGAAGAAGCCTCAACAAGACTTCTTTCTAGAGAATATATGTTTAAATTAGCAGGAGTAATTTTGTCACGTATTTGTGGCTTCCCTGAAACAACATATAGGTATGAAAGAAATAAAAAGATTTCCAAAGTTTAACCGTGAAAGACATATTTCTGTCACTGAAAGTCGGCTGATTTACTGAAGAATAAAATCATTTGCTGTTTACTTTCTAATGTGCCTTTTGTCCAACTAACACTGACATAAACCACAACAGAACATTTTCACATGAATTGGCTCATCCCTCAAGGCTTTTCTAATAAAAAGGCAAAAAGCCAATGATATTTGAACATTCAAAGCTGAACCAAATTACTGCCATAATTCTCAGAGAAGAAGGAAAAGGTCATGTTAGGAAGGATGGAGCTGTTTTCTAGTCAGCAGTAGGCCTGGCTTCTGCTCGCAGGGTGGCTACCGAACAGTGCTTTGTCTTCAGCAAGTCAGTTTTTCCTTATATGCTCTGCTCTCAACAGATCAAATAGAAACCATTTATATTCTAGCATGTCAAAGTGTGCACACTGTCAACACGAAGAACTGTACGTGGCTCACCATTTTCTTGTCTGAGGAAAATCCCACAGCCACCCAGCCATCAGTGTCAGCACTCAACTCAAATTCAACATCAGCTCCTATTCTACGGTAACTTAGAAAGTAGTCACAAGTCTCTGCGTTGCATCCAGGTTTACCGTACCTAAATGGAATGGAAAATATAGGTCATTTTTCCTTGCAATTTCCTGCTATGGAACTTAATTACCTTTCTGCAAGAAAAAACTATAAGAATGCATTTTGGTATAATGGCAGTAAAACATATTATGCTATACACGAAGTGTTTGCAATTATTACTCTTTTAGTGTCAGAATGGATTTGAATGTATTTAAACATTACAGTAATAAATTAATTACACATAGTATTACTCTGTTGACCTTCCTAGCCCTGGTTTTGAAAGTGCTTCATGAAAATACAAGAAACACGAAATAACTGTAGGTCCACAACTACGACATGCATCTTTAAATAATCTAGTTTCTTCAAACAATATAGTCCATAACTGCAAAGTATATTCTTAAATAATAAACATTTACTAAAATGAATATGGAACATTTACCAAAGTCTCAAGCACAGTCAGCATTTGCAACCATAAAGGTATCTGCACTCTCATCTCAGACTGACCTGAAGCATCCCTTGGTTTTTCCACAGTCATCCACTCTGATTTTTGCAAATGGATCCACAGGAGGAGCAGTTGGGAAAGGGTAACCTGTATAATCAGAATAAATCATTACTAGAAAAAATACAAGGAATAAAAAGCAATAATAATAAAGATAAAGGGTTCAAATAGCATTTACTTTGTCTGCTGCTAACTCAGCTCAGTTCAGATGAGGGACTACTTTGTAATATACACAATCCTTTGCTCAGATGATCCTGGATCCAGGTACCAAAGTCACACTGATAACTGAAACCAAAAATTTTCTCTATTTCCCTA